TAAGGGTGGAAATATTCCTGTTGCATCCCACCTTTAATCATGGAGGCTGCTCAGACGGAATCAATCAGACTCCCCTTCAATGGAGAGAAATTACAGGAATGTGGTAGCGAGACCCTTTAAAACAGCTTTAGAAACTGCTATACACAAAATGGGGAGAAACTGCAGTAGCAGAATAAGAAAGGCAGTAGCAGATTAAATGTTGTCCTGTGCAAGAGCAGAGCTTCAGAAATGAGAATACCATCAAAATCACGCCTGAGGATGAAAGTTTGGCAGCTGTGTAAGGACAGCAGTCGTGTTAGACCCAGGGCTAACTCTACACCCGTATTTCTATCACTTTCACCAATGAAAAATCCTTCCCATAAAAAAAAACAATTATGAGACTAAAGTGGATCGTTTAACAAAGGCAGTGAATGACCTAGCCTTTTAAATTTGCCGCAAACATTATTTTTTCCCCCTCTCATTTTAGGTCTTTCTCTTCTTTGGCTGTTGAGCATTTGGTCTGCGGGCTAAGGAATGAAAGGGAGGACAGCAGAACCAGATATAGGGAAAAAAAGACAGCATGAGAGAGGCTAGCACAAAAGGGAATTTCTGAGAAACTCAGCTGATAAATAGATTTGGTGGAAGGCTCTCGCACTCAACAGAGCTGGATGATTTTGTCCTCTGACCAAGGTCAGGTGGTTCTTCTAAGGGCACATGAGTCTTCCTCTAAAAGCACCAAACAAAACATTGGTAGATGCAAGTTCTCTACTAAACTCACCACAAATGTAAATATTTTCTAGTGGAGACTTCTTCATTCAAATGGAAAATTGTGGTGATTATGTTTAACATCACCAAAAGCAGAGAGCACTTCAGGTAATAGCTTCCAGGGAGGGGAAATAAAACACTGGGAATAAAGCCATCCTTTTAATCTTGCAAATATTTATTATCATTGCAGGAGCAATTCAGAATTCTGGTGTGCAATGTTAATAGGACCCATTATAGTTCACCTGAGCCCCAGATTTCCTATTGCTAAAGCGAAACAGATTTGTTTTTATTCTTATTATTTTCTTGAAGTACATTGTACTCTGTTATATGGTAAGATGTGTAAGGATTCCAGATGAACTTTCGTTTGCTTCTAATGGTGAATAAAAAAAGAAAAACTTTTGAAAGTCAGAAATATAATGTGATTGAATAATTCCTATCTTAGGAGTGTTAGTGAATCCAGGGCCTAATTTAATGTCTCTGAAGTCGCTGCAGAAAAAACCTTCTATTTTTTTAGGTTTTGATATTTTTTAGCAGCAAAGCGAGCTGGGAAAAGAGCTGTGTTCTGAAATACCTGGAGTTAGCTCTGACATATAGTAAGTTGGGCAAATACAAATTAAAGACATCAAATTTTCCTTCACGGGTAGACAGTCCCTAAAATATAAAGTGCACAGATACCTGATTTGAGGCATGTGAGTTAACAAATCGTCCCTCAACCAAGATGACATTAGTAGTTAAGAAATGCACTGATTCTGTGTGAATGAAGGGTCAGCTTTGCCTCTATCCCATCCAGCCAGATTGAGACACCTTGGCAAATCTGAAAACTAGCCAGTGAAGACAGAGTAGAAAAAAGGAGGATTTTTATCCTCCCTAGTTCTTTTGACCATGCAGTAGCATCTCTAGTGTGCTAAAGGACCTACGGGGTCTAAGACTTACAGATAGGTATGAAGTGGTTGGGGAATCACAGAGCTCTGTCATTCCCTAGGATATTCTTAAATTACTTCTCCAACCCCAAGAGGACAACCTGTAGCAAATGCTGCTTCTCTGCCTCCCATTCCTAATGGCTTCCTAAGGGCTGACCCAAAGTCTTCTGAAGCCAGGAGAAAGCCCCCCCCAGACATCAGCACGTTCTGTACCAGCATGTCCTTCGGACAGTGGAAGTCCTTTTCTAACGATAGGAAAAGCGTGAGTAATTCAGATCCTCAGCAGAGACGGTTTTAAGAATGGGATGAGAGCAAGAGCTACTTGATAACTCTGACACGGACTGGAGGGTGAGTCAGTAGCACCAGGATGTGTAGGTGGATCCAGAGCCAGCCGAGGCACGATGTGCACCTCGGTATCGGTCTCTCACGCCTCACCTTCCTGGTCCAATCTATAAAGAAATAGTGAGCCAGCTTTTAAAAGTATGCCCCC